TCCCACAACTATTACACTGTAGCTCACATATCCCACAACTATTACACTGTAGCTCATCTATCCCACAACTATTACACTGTGGCTGACATATCCCAAGACTGTAACACTACGTCACATTCTTCTACTGGGATCACAGCCACCTTAAGCTCTTCATCATGTCGAGATGTGTCTTCATGACAACAGAGACGCCTGTACGAGTTGAGTTGCTGAGACCACGATGAAAATAATTATATACTTGTCCTTGGTAAAAGTCGTGTTTAGCGGAGAGAGAGAGACAGTGAGTGTGTGTAGCGTACCACTTTTGGATAGATTTGCTGAGGCCAATGAGAAGAGAATAATTACCATTCAATGTATAGTACACATTCCTGCACTGCAAAAGTCACTATATTTCGAAACTTGTGGATGTGTTGATGTATCCTGCAGGAGATAATGTTGCATCATCGTGACCAGCTGAGGCATGAAGGGAGGAGCCCCGGTGATAACATTCCTTCGCTTACCGAAAGTTCAAGCTGATAAGCACGAGAATCTCCAGCACACAGGATGTCCTTCAAGTATGCATCATCCCATTTTTCCCCATCCCCCCCCCCCTTTCCCTCCCCTCTCCTCTCTACTCCTCTCTCCATCCCCACTTGAGCTGAATTCCCCTTCCCTTCCTTTCCGTCTGGGTTTTTACCATGGTTGTGGTATACTTCTTGGCTGTTTCACCTTGTAACTCATTTTAGAGTTTGAGGTGAGATGAACTGGTTTATCTAGTTAATTCCTCGACTTTTTTATGGATTGAGAACACATAGCCAGAGAGAAGTACCTGCCAAATGCCACAAATTTTCTGCTAAAGAAGCATTACAATGAATGGTCAGAGCTTGTTACCTCCTGAAGGGTCTCGCTTGACGAGGAAAGTAGGGTACAGCTGACGTTTTGATTCTGAATTGTCATATTGATGCCACGAACCAGTTTTCTAGTTCATGTCATCAGTATGGCAATCCAGCACATTCTACTTACGTGAATTTACTTGATACTCAATCCAATTTCATGAAGGCAAGACTATTTAAAGTTAACTGGTCTTAAACCACAATTACAGTGGAGGTCATGTCCTCTCGTTAGCGAGGGCTGGCACCGGGAGTTATAGAAGTTCTTGTAAATTGCTCCGCGTGAGGATTATTGTAAAATGTTAAGGTGGTGAGCAGTGAAATTCCTGTGACTATGTGCACTGTACCCACACGCACTCGCACACATTTTGGGAGATGAAATTCTCCAAGAATCAGTGAGAGAAAGACCTGGGGGTTGATATCACGCTAGACCTGTCCCCCTGAAACCCATATCAAGAGGATAACATCAGCGGCATATGCCAGGTTGGCCACCAGAAGAACTGCCTTTATAAACTTGTGTAAGGAATTCAGAATCTTGTATACCACATATGACTGAGTTCTTTGGGGCTTATAGTCCCCAAGTGGGCATTTGAAGGCATAGATGACGTTGGTCTCCTTTAAGGCGTTCTGCCTTGTGTCTGGAGAGTTTTTCATGAGTAGGTTGGCCGTTTTTTTTTTTTGGTATTATAGTAAATCGTCAATTTTATCTTCTGATTTTTGTCTGTAGGGATAACGTTCCTATCAACAATATCTTTCAGGATTCTTTCCTCCGTTTTATGAGCTGTGGAAAAGAAGTTCCTGTAAAATAGTCTAATAGGGGGTACAGGTGTTGTGTTAGTTGACTCTTCAGAGGTTGCATGGTGTTTCACTTTCCTTTTTATGATGTCTTCAACGAAACCATTGGAGAAGCCGTTGTTGACTAGGCCTTACCCTACAGAGTTCTTCATCGACTTCCTTCCATTCCTTTGTAAGCCCCAAAGAACTCAGTATATAGGGAAGACAACAACATCTCTTTCCAGGCTATTAACAATGCATAAGCAACAGGGCTCCATTAAGGAACATATAATCTCTCCCCACAACCAGACCATCACCAGAGAAGTCTTAACGAACAACACAGAAATCATTGATAGATACAGCGATAGCAGGCGGCTTGACATCAGCGAGGCACTACACATCAAAAAGTCAACACAAGCAATCAACAGCCAATTAATGCACAATTATATTCTACCCACTTCAAGACTCCGTACCAATATAGAAGCATTAAGAGGAAGTATGGACCAATAGGCCCTTTGCAGTTACTTCCATTCTTCCCACTCATTTATCCAATTTATACACATTGCACCGTGTTCTGTCTTGTGTTGGTCAAAAGTTTGTTCACTTCATCCAAAACTGTTGCAATATATCACCTCACCCAAATGCGAGTATATAAGACAAGCTGTTCAATGTTAGCATTAAGTAAAACTCTGTTTAGTGTTTTCAGGTTACAGTTGTGTGTGTGTAAACTAAAGTCTTTGAAAATGCAATAAGTTATTACGAAACGCGTTCAAGCGTCGCGTCAGACTAGAAATAAAAATAAATTTTGGAGAATTGATTTTTCAGTTACCATCAACAGTGAAAAGAAATATAAGAAATAT